CACAAAACCCAGCCCCCTCCACACCAACCCCCCCCAATTAGCCTCCCCCAACTTATAGCTAAGGTCAAACATCAGTGGAAAAGGGCTAAAAGTGATAAATCTGTGGCATTAACTAGTGCACTCCTTTTAATAGAATCCAGCATAAACTCAAAACAGCCTCGCGCTCAGCCTGAACCATTTATCTGAGACAAAAATGTCTTCTTGACAAAAAACAGATCTCCTTTAATAAAAGTAAGGCAGACAGTATTATGCTCTGAGGGAATCCTGTTGCTCTTTTTATATTTATATATAAAAAGAATTCTTCTGTAATACACGTAGATATAAAAAGTGAAGAAAACTGATGCCAAATATATGAGCATCAGAACATGAAATTAGCCTTTGTGAAAGCTGTTCTTAGAAATAAAAGCACTGGTGTTAATGACCGGTGGAATTACGTATGTAGTTAAAGTTTTATTATTGTATACCCTTTATTCTTTTAGCTCCTTTTGCTTTAGACCAAAGTTTCACAACAATTCTTGCTCACGATAAGCATCTTTCTTTGGTCCCATTGTTATCAACTCCTTACCAAATGAAAATGAACTTTTGAAACTGCAGCAGTCTGCAGTTTTTTTCTGAAAATTCCTCTTTAATGCAATAAAAAGTTAATAGGGAACAGGAAAAAAGCACCAATCGCATTTTAAAACATAAAAAGATCAACATGCTATCTTGTTTTTAAAAGTTATTTGAAAAATACTTCCTCAGATATTTTCATGTGCTCTGGATGAGCTGTGAAAGCAACACAGTGATATCTCATCAATCACGCTGTTCTATCAAAAGCATTAAGAATCAAGTTTTGTATTTTTAAATGACCACATATTTCTCTGTCAACTGAATGTTAGATGTTTAACAGATTTACGTTCAGTCACAAAACCGGCGACTTTTGAGAAAGGTCATTATTGCAGACTACATGTGGGTGGCCCAGTTGATGAATTAATTAAGAATACAGAAACAAAGGTCGAAAGAAAATAATTTTTCTTTAAAACTCAAGCCACTAAAGTCTTACACATTTAATTCCAATTACTGAAAAAGAGGACATCTGTACAGCTTTAGTTTTATCCATTTCAACTAATTAACAGAATCAAATAAATAGTCATTACATCCAACTGAAAAGCTTGCTAACACTTCATTAGAAGGAATTTTAAACAAGCACACAACCTTGTTAACATATTTTGGCGTACCACAAAGTTACTTGGGCAGCTCGATAATTATTTTTACTCCCTTTACAAATATATTATGACAGCCAACTTCAGTAATCCCACATTCTTTTGCATTTATTTAATTATTTCATAATTCAAATTTTCTTAAAATACCACTGATTTTAAAAGTAGGCGCTGGGTATGGGTAGGAGATTTCACCCCAATATCTATTTTCATAAGGTTTATTAAATTATTTTCCCTAAGATTTAATCCTGCAAGATGACATTAGAAGATCTCTGTAGTGTTTAATTGTATATTTTTCAGTGGTAAGCTAGCATTTCAACCTCTGCCACGGTAGCACAGTGCATTTCATGAAATTCATTGAGTTCCATCTCGCATACTGGGTAACTTTGAAATGGCAGATATAATAAAAAAATTAGTGAAAACCTAAAGCTGTAGTTAATCCATCTGGCTAATGTCCAAAACATCTTCCCTAATCATCCTACTGGCAGATACATCTATATGTTCGTACACATGCACTGAGCAGCTCAGTCCATCATTAAAAACTGTGTTGCTGTGCTCAAAGGGACAAGCACATGCATCATTACTCTGCAAGCCTTTATGTATATATATATATTTTTAAAAAACCCATACAAAACCCACTCCTTCCCTGAAAAAAGTGATTATTTCTCCTTCGAAAGGACATGCTTCCCTTAGATTCACTGCTCTCTTCTTCCATCTTCTCTTTTAAAAACAGATTTCTTCCCTTTTTTTACTACATGTTATCTTAAAGATATATTTTATTAGTTGGAAATTGCTTTATTTCATTACAACACCCAAATTCTAAGTTAGGCTGTACAGGTAGATAGAAATCTTTATTGACCTGAAGGAGGTGGGGTATTCCATTTACATTAGGAGTCCACTGATGACAAGAAAATAACTCCCTTCTGCTGCTGAAACTGCCCTCACTTACAGTCAGGCTGACAGCCTCAGTACGCCACGCACCCACACGCAGATGTGTTTACAGAGTTGCTAGATAAACCTCTGATGAAAGGCTACAAGGCTTTGTAATCATTAGTTCCGACCAGAAAAGACTTGGTAGGCATTACGAAGTGGTTTCCCAGCCAGTTTGGCAAGACTGACCCTTGTAATGGGCACAGGCATCCAGCGGCTTCCCCACCCAGCAGCAACGGAATCCTCCAACGCAGGCACCGTCACCATAGAAGCGTGGTTCTGTGTACCCACCCGGACCTTGTTTCCCACCTGGAATCTGCGAACTGGGATAAACCAGTAACTTCAGGAAAACCACGGGCACACAGCAGCAATAAGCCAGACTAGCCTACGCAGGGCATGGCTGCACCGCTGTACGGCAGCTCCTTTCTCCAACACGCAGGTGAGGCAGCCAAGCTGCTCCATCCCTCCCCCACTTCAACCACAGTAATAATGCAACGCGGAGGACGACGTCCAGCAAAGCAATTTGCCACAGAAAAGTAAAATCATTTGAGACATGAATACAACGAGGAAGAATCAGTGCAGCTTGGTCACCCACACTTCAAATCAGCACGATGCTTAACTCCGAGTTTATACGAAGCGCAGAAGCAGTCACATTAGCTCAGTGAGATTACTCGCATCCTTTAAAGGTCAGACTTGCTAAAACGCTTTCCTGAACTGAAGCTTCAATCAATTACGCTATAAAAGCTAGCCAGGACTACCCAGCTAGTACAAACAGGAGCCAGCTAAACCAGCATGTCATTTCTTGCAGGCTTGCCTGCTTCTGCCAGCACACAAGCACAGGATCACTGCCAGGATCCTTGGGACGGATCCATTCACACAACCGCCAGAATCAGAATCTGCCATGTTCAAATGAGGCTGTGTGCACAAAAACCTACATTTCCACCTGGCAACGAAGCACATCGCATGGACAAGAACTCCTCGGGGATTGTGAGCACACACGACGCCCCTTTACACTGGAAGGTTCTTTCCTGGGGCAGTGTTCAGGGACAGGCTTCAGTTAAACCATGTACAAAGTGTATTTAATTTTAATCAACTTTCTTTTTGCTAGATGCTCATTTCAGTAAGAAAATATTGTTAACAAGTCTTCTGTACCATAAAATCTAACAACACAAGAGAAAGAATTTCATTTTTCCTGGAAAAAATAATGTAATGCTAATTCTGAAAGTAAATCTCAGCACTGAAAATAAATTAATAATTCAATAGCATTTTAAAACTTCAGATCACAAAAATATGAAGGCAAGACATACCAACAATTAGGATATCTAACTTAGAGCCTCCTTCCCTAGAGATTCAAAACAAAAGTCATTTTACTAGAACTGATGGCTTATTTATGTTACAGCAGCAGTATTTGGACAAGGCAAGCGTTATCGTTTTTACAACTACTTTTCCATAGTGCCCTTTAGGCTTGATAGCTCCCTATTATTGTTAGGGTCAGAGGACAAGTTCATAAAACCTCTAAATCATACATAACAAGACTTAAAAACCTAAGATATATCATTTTTTTTCCCCTAGGCCTACACAGAAGAATCAAAGCACAGACAGTGACCATCAGAAATAATGACCACATTAAACAAGGCTTCATGAGAAATTTATGAAGCAGAATTTTTCTGTCTCTGTTTTCTGGCAGTATACGAAGAGCCAAAAGACCTTTTTTTCCAGGAAACAAAAACAAACCAACAGTGAACAGACACATTTTAAGACCTGACTCTAAGCTTTTGAGTAACACACGTTCCTTTTTCCATCCCCCTCTTCCCTCCCCCCGCTTTAATTTTAATTTTGCGGGACAAGGCCTCTAAACGTTATATGAATAATGCCCTTTCAGTGTAATGTCACTTGGCTGAGTACTTCTGAACTAATTCTCAGAACAACCACAGCTCAAACTGCATACACAGTTTTTGTTTGATTTGTTTTCAAGTAAAACATTTTCTTTTCCTGTCAGGTAAGAAAAGAAAATAGCATGACTACTCATTTGCCATGAATACTTTACTGACTCACCTGCAATAAGCATCATAAAAGAGAGGGGAGAACAAGAAAAAATAAATTGTTTCTTTCTTTTTTGAAGTCAAATATTGTGAAGATTAGGGGAAAAAAATTGTATTTTTACAGAACAACGAAGTCTGCAGGAGTCCTGCATAACCACGGATTCCAGGACGAGACACTTCAGAATCAAAAGATTGGTAGAAACAAATAAAAAAGGCGCGGATATCTTTCTACGTCATAAAGACGGTACAACACAACAATTTAAAGCTGCTGTGAGAATGGTATGGATTTTTCAACAAAGTATTTTGCACACACTGCACCTGTAGGTTATTAGTAAAACAGTACATACGCCTCACAAAACAGCGCTGTGCTTGATTACATTTGAGGTTTGAAATTTATGTAAAATTATCAGCTTTTATACTTAACATCCCACCCACTTAACGTCTTTTTTAAACTGGAATTCAACAGTTAATCGCATTTCCAATCACATTTTCCAGTCACATTATATATTAATAAATACAATCAGACTACATATACATTTCAACTGATCAGTATAAATCAATGTCAATTATGAACAAGTGTTAGAGAGACAAAATGTGACACTTCACACTTGATGCTGTCAAAGTGTCACATAAATACATTCTAAGGACAATATATATTTTGGCTTAATTTCAGTCCCAAACAGGACTTTATCACAGCTCTGTGTGTCTGTAAAAGTTTCTGACCTACCAAAAATCTCATCTATATTTCATTTTCAAAAGCATAAAATGCATTTTCCTGAGATTTTCATGAAAATGAATTCACTTTCTGTTTCTGCGCAAACTGCATTACCTGCCCTTCCGCAACTGTCTCTGTATCAATGATAGTGATGATTCCAGGCACCAGAGGACTTCGACGAATGTTGCTATGAGCTAGAATTTCTTCTTCAGTTGCTCCCGAAGGCAGCGTCCCTGTCAGCTGCGTAACTACTTTCCCAACCATTGTAAGTCCAGTCTTTATTGTCTATAAAAAGAGAACCAATAAATAACGTTTTGTGACTCTATCTTGAATTTTTTCTCACCACAATTAATGTAATTAAATTGCACACACCAGGAGCAAACAAAACAAATGTTTTTATAAGTGATCTCTAAAAGCTGCAAAAGGCTGTATGTAACAAATGCCTTGAAAAAAATCAGCATCCTATCAAGTTGAAGTATTCACTTCTACTTCAGAATTAAATTCTTCCAAAACATTCTGGAAAAAAAGAAATACTGTAATGTTGTCTAAATGGCACAGTCCTTCCTCTCTTTAACTTGGTTATTTACCTATTCCAAGAGGCACAGAAGAATCAAGCGATGAAGCCAAGATGGGTGCGTGTGGAGGGCACAGAGGACACAGTCATACTTACAGCCCATAATGGTTAATGCTGAAACATTTGTGTCTTCTGCACAACTGCAAGAGACAAGGAGTTTGGCCTTTGACAGATATGACAAGACATTCGTCTCTCAGCCGTTATGACTTTGGCAGCATTAAAACCAAACACAGGACTCAGACCCAGCAAAATTAAAATCGCCATCCTCAAGATGTGAGAAGGGACAACTCCGTAAAAGAAGTACAGGCATGTCCCAATAAAAATAATGTGACTTTCCACAGTCTGCATGTTTTCCAGACAAGGGCTTGAAAACAGACTCATTGCACCAGCTTTTATTATCTAAAGATGCTGAAGATTGGTTTTATGTCATTTTATTCAGAGAAGGTGGGAGAGTACACACAGTAGGAGAGATACAGGTTAAAAAAAACAAACCAACAATCCAAACTACAACTTTAAATACTTTCTCCTTGAATCAAGGACTGCTCCGTATTTGCCTATAAAGAATTGAGCAGATTTATTATGCAATATAAATAAGAAACAGCAAAAGAGATCAGAATGGAATGACACTATAACAAGCCAATTCTTAACTAAAAGGACAAGCTAAGCTGCCTGCTAAATTGAAAAGGAAAAAAACCCATACAGATCACAGGCTGAAACCAAGAAGCAGCCACAAATCAATTGCAACTGCTTTGTTTAGTGCTAAAATCTCAAACTGCAGTGATTAGAAAACACATTAGTGTTCATCAATTAGCAGCCAAACGTTTGTTTTAATAATTCATAGGAAATGACTTACACAAAGTCTGTTAGTGTGTTGTCAGGAAAACCTCTGAAGGGCCAACAGAATCAGGCGCCACACTCTATCGATGGCAATATCTAGCCAGGAAGCCTGATTAACCTCTGAGATGCCTCAGCTGATGTACTCACCCCATTAATGCTAATGGAGATGCTACCACTTAAAATCGAGCCATGCCTTTATCATAGGAACGTCTTTGGGATTTAAAGTCGTTAGTAATATCCTGCCATTTGTTTCTTATTATTTCTTTCTATACTCAGATACAAAAAAAAATGAGAAAAGCAAATTTTAATGGTGGAAAATGCAGAAGACTGGAAAACAGAACGTAAGGTAGATAATGATATCTGAGGAATAGACCTAAAATAGACCCAACGCCATCACAAGAATGCATTTCAACAGACACTGCGCTCCTCACAAAAACTGACAAGGCAGATTTCTGGCTAACAGTTAAAATCATATAAAGTGCACTGGTAGTTTATACAGCAGGAAAGAGAAGTCAGTATAGAGATACTATATAGCAACATACCTATGCAAGCAAAACCAGCAAGAATCAACCTATTTTAGAAAGTACCTTTAATACTATAACTACCAAAATTGGATGACAATGCAACAAGTATGAATTTATAGCTCTCTAGAAAAAAATTAGCATGCTTATCTAGCAAAATGAATTACCACTGCGTGTTAGAGTAGACTGCAACTGCAGGACTCCTGTGAAGTAATAGGTGTACAAAGACGTGGCCGAGGCCATTAGCTCAGAAATATCAGTGCAAAACCATTATGGCACTTACTTCTTTGTGCTGTGTGTATATTTGCAAAAATTTCTCTGGTAATCTTTAACCTTTCCCATGCCATATCAGCTGTCCCCTCTATCCATTAGAGCTAATGACCTCGCTCTCACATAAGCTGTTAGTACTCATTAAGTAGTTATCAGGTAACAAGAGAAAACAGATGCAACCTTTGCTAAATCACTTTACCACTAGAGGATTAAAAGATACGGAGAAAGAATCAACTAAAGAAGTTATGAGGTGAGAAGAACTTGGTTTATAATTTGATGCTAGACATTCGACAGAGCAAATGCATTTTAAATGAAATAGGTTAAAGTTTGCACTGTCCCAGTTCCCTTGTCATGGATAGGAACTGTCAGTGCATACACAGTGAAACTTTATTATAAATAAAATACTTGATCCAATTCCTTTGGTAAGCAAGCATGTATGTTGCACAAACACACGAATTATTTGTGTGCTCACATGCCCCCATGTACTTAAAAATAACTGTTCACATTCAAATATAAAGAAAAAAATCATTCAAATACAAAGAAACATTTCATTGAATCTATGCACTCATACCTCATTTAATTGAAAAATAAGTATTATTTTAATTAGATGAGAAAATCTAAATGCATCATTCAGTGCCTCTTAGGCTGTTTTGTCCAACAAAGGTTTTACGTTCTTTTAACGACAAAACAATTGTTCCTGTTTCTCATAACACATTTTACAATATTTGTTTGTTTACAAACAAAAATTCTATAGAAAGCAGAAAAAGCTATCAGAAAGAGATGCCTTGGTAATCATCAGTATGAAAGCCTCACGGTTAGTTTGAACCAAACAAACATCACGGATTTAAGCTGAAACTAAATGTTTGTTGAAATGCTCATGTTTCACGAAGAGTTTTCCTTTGCCTGTTCTTGCAGCATATTCTGGACAGAGGAAGGATGGGGAAGAAAACCTATTAGGAAATTCATCTTGAGGAGTGTGGGAAGTTGGAGCACTAGGAATGCATTACGATGGAGGTCGTCTGTAGGTGCTTCACCTGACCAGAGAGGGAGCTGATGTGACTCACCCTGGGACCAAACCTCTCTTCAACAAGACATACCAAAACCAACAAGCACAGAGAGATAAAAATGGCTTTTCCTACATCCCCTTCCTTGCTGCATTCAAAATGGATAAATATGGGCAATTACAACACAGACTGTCACATTTGGATGCTTATCTCAAACCAAGCACCTGAATATCCTCCCATCACTCATACAGTTAGGTAATAATGGGCTTTTTTCTGGTATTCTATGTCCATTCTACCATGGTTGTTCCACGGGAGTGAAAATAATCTTTATCCTATAAGGGCCAACATTTTCATCTTCCCAAATGCATCAATTTTCATCTTTGCTAAACATTAACCTAAGTTGAAATCTTGACACATTTTCTATTTCCAGAAAGGTTCTGCTTGGCCAAATCACAGAAGTTAAGAAAGCTCTTCAGAACATGAGCAGACAGAAAGCTACCAAACAAACGTGGGGAAATGAAGAGATTGAGCTGGACAAAACGCATGTGTCTTTCCAGCAACAGCAGAAAGCAGTGCTCTTGCAAGATGCACCTAAGGGGAAACAGGAAAAAGTTCAGAGTTCAAAATAAAATCCTTCTAGGAATTCTAAAATCAAATGGGAAGACGATATAAAGGGATTCTTCATAACGTTACCAGCATAACAAGAGTTTAGGCACCAGTAAACACCACAACCCAACATGACCATGATCTACGCTTGGTGAACGGGGGAACTTCTGACTCCGAAGTTATTTGAATAAGGAGGAGATCCATTTGCTGCCTCGAGCCCCGCACAGAGCCGTGCGTTACACTGAGGACAGACCCACCGCTCACCGCCAGGACACTCCAAAACATTTCTCATCAAAGGGAATACCATTAAAGTAAATATTCTGTACTGCCATGGAGACCTTCTACAGAGGAGCTGAAAGGTAATTCTCAGGAGTGCCCCTGCTGAAATTACTCGTCTCTCAGCTTTACCTTTCTCCTTTCTATGAAGATTCTTTCACTTCCTTCAATAAGAAACTGGAACCCAAACAGAGAAAAGGCTGTAACCCAAGATAATCTGACAGAACCTTTATGGAACTACTTCTGAACCAAAATGCAATAGTGTAGG